AAAGCGCTATGTAAATTGATGGCGCTATATAAGTACCTGAAATAAATAAATTCTTACACTCTTATCTGCCTTCTTGCTGTGCATCATGACTTGAACTTTTGAAGCCAGAGAGATAGCCTGACAAGACAAATAACATTTGCATTTGAAAAGTCACCAACGACTAATTATCCTAGATCCCTCAAAACTGGCAAAAGACAACATCTATCTTTCTTTTCTACAGCATAAAACTGCAGGTTTATTTTTCAAATAGTTTGATGGACTACATGGAAACACCCCCTGAAGTCATCACAAATTTGAAATCCCATCTTCATAGGACATTTGGTCCAAAACCTGGCCTTTATCTAACCTCCTGTATATCTCACTATAAATCTAAACAGCATGAATGAAAAAATAAGAACCCAGAATCTAAGATAATATATGGTAATAAAACATTTGCAATTCTTCCTTTTAACAGTTCAATATAAATCAGACAAAACATTTAAATTAAAATGAATAGGATATAACATATTGTCTGGTAAACTTGATACATTCAGTCTTGCATACTGAAAGCTGTGTTTTGATTTAGTGATATATAATTGAATAATTTCTAGATGAAAATCAATATACAATTTTGGGCTGACATGATTACACAGCATATTAAACCACATCAGAGTCTGATATAGTATTGTGCGACACAGACCTACTGACTTATCATAATTATTAATAAATCTAAACATCTATCCGCTATGGATGCTGTCCAGGCAATTACTGGGCTGCTTTAGAATTTAAATGAGGAAAAGTTAATACAATTTTAGGGCTTCTTTAATGAAACATGAAGTAGAATTTAATTTAATCGGAAAGCAAGCCTAAAGTAATTATTATTTTTATTAATAACAGGCAGGACGATGCAGTAACAGAAAAATATGCAGTAGGTAAAATGTTGCTATAAAGAAGATTTATGTAGATAATCTTATCTTTCAGACTCCACTTCTGTGCCCACTCTATTGGTAAGCAGATTTTGTTTTTCATTTCCATGGTATTCCATAGCTAGTTTAAACAAACACCCACATTTTCAATAAATTCACCTTTTACAAACTCTAGCAGCCCCCTCAGCTACAGCCACAGCACAACTGATTTTGACAATTTTGGGTGGTGCATTGTTCTCTTGCCTCCGAAAAGTGCCATGGTTATTTTTGGAATGACAGAATTGCATTCATTTTCAGCAGAAAAAATTGTATGTCACCTTTCCTCTACTATACATATTGGCACCTATTTATGAAATATTCCAGAGTACATTTAAAAAATAAATTGATCAAAATTAGGGTTTCCGCAGACAGCTTGAAAATTACAAGCAATGCTCTTGTGTTCAAAACATGGTTTGTGATTATTGGGCTGGTTTTAAGGTGCAAAAATGAATAATTCTGGTAATTTAAAGTGATTGATATTGCACAGGGAGATTTTCCAAATTGCTGGAAGGACTCACAGTGAGTAGAACGGAAAATAGGGTCAAGTAATGCTCATTCATCAATGTCAATGTTGGGTAAGAATTGCAGTAGGCATGATACTTAGGTAGCTTGTTCGAGACCAGACAGGCACAGTATAGTTATTCCCTTGCATATATATTAATAAAGTATATACTGTATATAGAGATATCTGTGTCTAGGACCACTGTAATATCAAGAAAATTACATACACCTTACCTTAAAGTGTTACTAAACCCAGGACCCTGCATTCACAATATCTGGTCTCCCACAGTTCGTAGAACATAGAAATGCAATTATTTCAGTAAATATAAACTGCTAAATACCTTTTCTCATCAGCAGTTAGAGCAGTCTTGTGACTTTTATCAGTGTCCAGGTGAGCATTGGTTAAAGCTGAACCCCTTACCCTCTGTCTGGACAGTGCTGATTTCTCTGTGTTGATCACATGCACCCTCCCAAGAAAAAGAAATAACCCTCTAGCAGTACACACCACACTGAGTATGTGCAGAGTGTCCCCAAGGATTTGTTCTATCAGAAGATGAAATGGGGAATGTGGAAGAAGGGATGGATCAGAGAAGACCGAATCAAACATTCTTTTTACACAATGCAGAAGATTAACCCCTTAAGTTACAGAGTGGGTATAACAAGCATACTTTACTGAATATACAGACTGATTTCACTGTTCTGGGTTTAGTAACACTTTAAGCATTAACCAATCCCCTAAAACTAACCTTTAGTCTCAAGCCCCAAAATCTAGACCCTAACTATCAAATTAGGGCCTGTATCTGATTTTTAATATTAATCTAAACCATATCTCTTAGCCATAGCCTGATCCCTTATAGTATATCTAAGGCCAAAACTAACTTTCAGTTTTATATAAAATAGAAACTGTTAAAACCCTTATCATTTTTTCGCCATCTGTATCTAATAAGAGAGATTTCCATTTTTGGTAGATTAAGCAGAAGTGAGAAGAACACTCCATTATAGTTGTTACTGGAACATATGTTCCCAATGGTGACAATTCAAAATTTTGTATTTTCCCTCACTTTCAGTCTAAGTGACGATGGTCCCCTGGGCAATTAGAGAGACTGAATCACTCTAATAGGGTCAGCACTAAAAACCTGGAAGGGGATTTAACCCTTCACCACTTTATTTAAAACTAACAGGAAAAAAATGTGGCCTTAGATACACTTAAAAAAAACCTAAAATAGTTTCTAAACCCAGAAATCTACCCCCCGCTCCCTCCCTTGCATAGCGAGGACACATCCACAGTCACATATACAAATAGTTTAAAAGACTGCAGTGTTTCTAACAGTTTTTTTTTTATAATTCTCTTTGGGTCATGTGATCAAGGTTTCCATTATCACTGCAGCAATCAAGGCCGTTCAGAACAAACTGAGCTGTCAATCAAGCATCTGATATACTTAGGGGGCAGAGCACATGCCTGACTGTGCTCTGAATGGTCTGGAAGAGAGGGCATGCAATGGCTAAGGGAATGTCCCTAAACATGTGAAGCACTGTGGTTTAGCCCTGCCCCTGCCTGGGCCATGTTGCAGTAATAATAAGAAAAATGATCATGTGAGCTAGGAAGTAAGCTGTGTATAGCAAATACATGGCTTAGATACTAGGCTAAATGGGGAGCAACACTTTAGTGGCTTTATAAGTCTTGCCATTGGAAAGGTGGAAGCTTTAGGAACGGCAAGATCACCAGGTACTTTCTATTCGAGGATACTTTTTTTATTAAAAGCAAAGGGCACATATAGATATTAAATTATTAAAGGTGCTTTAAATGTTTTTTTTCCAGAGTGTGTGTTGGGGGGGGGGGGGGGGGGGTTTTAGAATGATTTTAATTCATAAATATGTTCCATAACCACATTCTAAACCTAAATCTTAACATAACATCAAAGCCAACCTTAACATAACATCAAAAATAAAAAAAAATCATTGTACGCATCACGATACATTAGTGAAAATATTTCCATTCCCTGTATATAACAAATTTAGTAGAAAACAAAGTAATTTCTCAGAAGAAAAATCCTTATTATTCTTTAGTAAATATAAAAGTGGATATCACTGGTTACAAGAAATACATCCGGTCCAATAATGATTTTTCCATTATCACCTCATGTAGTAGTCCTTTTTCCAGATGGCTGTGCACCAGTCTTTACAGTTTAAAATAAACATGCCCTAGTTTTGGCATCAGATGTAATATTATCAGCATTGCTTTAAGCAATCAAATTTATTCTCGAACAACACATCTGTATATGACTTTTGCTTATATATGCATGTTATATACTGTAGAAGGGCAGCTGGAGGTGGTTTGTGGAACTTTGCTCCTAAAGCTGTTATATGTACCCAAAGCCTGCAGGCATGGCTGGAGTAAATGGAATGCAGTAACTCAATTTATGGCAAATTTGAAACTTTAGTGAGTCATAATGACTGCTGTAGTGGGCACTGAGATCAGGTGGAGCCAGAACAAAATCTTCAAATCTATGTATGGCAAGATGAATGTAGTGTGACAAGGGTGATTGAGGCCCTTTTGTCTCACCCCTTCACATAGAAGGGAAATGTATGCTTTGTTGCCAAGTATATCAAACTATTTTAATAAGTAAGGAGAGCATAAATAAGGATACTTTTTGCTCTTTTCTTTATTGTTCTATTTTATTTTTGAATCTGATCTCTTTGATCAAGAGATTTTGCAAGACTGCCTCCGATATATGTTTATGACTTTATCCTGACCTAAAACAAGCTGGAATCATACTACACCACTTGTGCATTAATATCTGGGGACATCCTGTTGCAGCATACTAACCAACACTGGGGAAAGGGGTGGAGATGGCAGTTTCTAGTATGTGACATCTGACAGCAAGCTGTTTGTAAAAGTAAACTGTAAACAAACAAAAATAGTCCCTATTTCTGGTATAATGAAAATAAAATGTTGGCTCACCGCTAGTATTCCAGTTCCACACCAGGGTTTCGGGTTCATATCTGATTCAGGATGCCACAAAGACCACAGGAATTCAGCAAACAGCATCTCAGTTGCCTGACAATTCATACTTGCTCACAGCTGCACTTTATTTCACAGATAGGTGGTGACTCCTTCCTGTTCCTTTTCAGACTTTCCCTGCAAGTGAGTTAGCCCTTTGAGGACCAAAGTCCCTGCACTGAGGATTGGAGGCTCTTTCCCACCCAAAGTTTCTCTGAGCCTCCAAATTCCATCCCATATAAGGACTTACCAATCCTGGGCAAGTCAGTTTACCACTTCTCAACTGGAACCCCTCATCCTGAATGAGTGTGAACCCCAAGTACTCCAAACTGCATTCATATAAATAGAAATAGAAAGAAAATAATAAACATTACTCTTTCAGTTTTTAATGCCGCCTACTGATGTTTAACCACTTTCCTGCCGCCCTTTAGCAGAACTACTGCTACAGGGCAGCAGGGCTGCACAAAATCACGTATATATACGTGATTTGCATTTCCAGGTAGGGGGCGCGTGCCACTCTACCTGCGGTGCCATTGGTGGCTAGGGATGTCAAACACCGGGTCCAGGCTGCAGATTCCCCGGCACCCAGCGATCGCTGGGGAAAGCTCACAGGGGAGAGACCTGTATGTAAACAACACAGGTCTCTCTCCTGCCGGCAAGGGAATGCTGCTTTGTATTTCTCTGTACAGCAGAGAAATACAAAGCATTATGTTTCCCTAGTAAAACACACACAGCACATAACCTAAAACAGCACACAGTTAACCCTTTGATTGCCCCAGATGTTAACCCTTTCATGCCCAGTGCCATTAGTACAGTGTCAGTGCTTTTTAATAGCATTGATCACTGTATTAGTGTCATTGGGATGTCAGTGGCAGTTAGTCAGTTCCCACCAAATGTCAGAATGCACACCACAGTACCGCTATAGGTCGCTGATTGCCTCCATTACTAGTATATATAAAAAAAAAAATTCCAGTACATATACCACCATTTGTAGATGCTATAACGTTCACGTAAACCAATAAATTTACATGTATTGGGATTTTATTTAGCAAGGACATGTAGCAGAATACATCTTTTCCTAAATTTATAAAGAAATGTGTTCTTTTACATTTTTTTTTACTGGATATGTTTTATAGCAAAAAGTCGAAAATATTGTTTTTTTCCCAAATTGTTGGTCTTTTTTTGTTTATAATGTAAAAAATAAAAAATGCAGAGGTGATCAAATACCACCAAAAGATTTGTGGGGAAAAAAGGACATACATTTCATTTCTGTACAGTGTTGCATGACTGCGCAATTGTCAGTTAAAGTAATGCAACGCTGTATAGCAAAAAAATGGCCTGGTCAGGAAGTAAATCCTCTGGAGGGCAACACTCAACCCCTACCCCACCATAATTCTTTGGTTTCCCAGGAACAAAAAAAAATGTAAGCACAGTTTTAGCTGAAAATAAACATTACATGGAACCAAGTAACAGTTTTGCAAACTATGCACCCTTATTGGATGAATCTAGACGTAGTCCTCACTATGTTAAGTTGTATAGAGGGCAAGGATTGTCACTCCCTGGTACAAGGACTTGGGACACTTCAATAGCAATAACTTCTTCAGAGCAGTCACCTTCTGAGTCACCAATTGTTCCCATGGTAGGTCCTATCCAGGGGCGGACTGACAACTCATGGGGCCCCCAGGCAATAGAGATCATGGGGCCCCTGTGTCCTTGCCCACACTCAAAGCACACCCGAAAAATCCTATAAAAGGTACTAGGGGTATTTCATGGGGCCCCCTACTGACCCCGGGCCCTCGGGCAGTGCCCGAGTGCTCAAATGGTCAGTCCGCCCCTGGTCCTATCTGACATTTAACCCTGCTGTCTGGATTTCACTGTTTCTCAGAATGTTTAACTGTAACTTTTAAAAGCTGTGAGGAGGATGAATCTCCTTGACGCTGAGTTCTCATTTCTTTGTAAGGTCCAAAAGGCACCTCTTCCAGCTGTAGCACTTTCACTGTCCAATAGTGCCAATAGTCAATAAGAACAAGCAGTTATCTCACTAGATACTTGTTTGTCCACAATCAAAGAACTTCTTGTGGACCCTGAAGGGTGAGAACACACAATGGCTAGTGTGTCAAAGGTCCCCACTTGTCTGACGAATAATGGGTCAGATGACAATTTGATCTGTAGGTAGGGGTATTTCTCTGCTTCAATCCCTGAATCTCTAGGTGTTTAAACTCTCATAGTGTTATGTACCTCAGGTCCTTGTCATAAAAAATCTCTGTAAAACAGTTTAACTTGTCAATGAGAGCGAGCTCTTGTATAAATTCCTTCTCCCTGAACAGGCACTGCAGGTGAAGGGCTTATCAACTTGACAAGGACTGTGGTAGAAGCAGGTAAAGTAACAGGTCTGGATGACTGGACTTGAATCTCCTATGAGATTCAAAGTGTTGCTTCTGACTAATCTCCGAGTAATGCCTTAACTGTTATGGATAGTAGATTTACCATTTCTGTCATTTCAGACATCTGTGCCTTCAGAATGACTATTTCAGAATAGCTGTTGGCAGCAGTTGCTGGTCCAATTCCAACAGACAGTTCCTGTGTTTTGCACATCCTGGCAGTGGTCCTTCTTGCAAATTTGGTTTGCAATTCTTGGCATGGTCACCACACTGCAATAGGGGCCAAAAAAAATCCTGGAGGAGCCTAATGTGTGGTGCAGGAGCTGATAGTTGGATGGCACCCCTGGAAGAGCTGCTAGCTGGAATGGCCCATTCTATTTCCCTCAGTTATGATCCACTTTTGTAGAACCCAACCTCACAATACACCTTTGTGTTGTATAGGGTTTGTTGGGCCATGAATAATGAAACACAGCAGCAAATAATACTTATAATATGCCAAAATAAAAGAGATAGTGAACAATTATTATCAAATGACAAGGTGCTAATAGATTATGGAAAAAGTAACTATAAAACTGCCTGATTGATTATATAATTAACACTACCTACAGCATTTGCCAGTGGCTAACAAGTCTGTAGGCGTTGGTGTCTTTATCCTTAGACTACTAGTAGTAGCACTTGTCCTCTCTAGAGGGAGCAATTCGAAGGGTCAAAGGTCAAAACTGCAGGTCATCTCAACATGGACAACAGCATTAACTGTGGTAGCCAGCGACATAGTTCTGTATAAATGACCAACAAGAATCTCACCACTAACCAAGGGTTTTGGTATGTCCACTTGAGATCTGACAAGATATATGAGGCACCCCCTCTGAAGCTGGAGTCAAATGACTCTGGAGTTCTTGGTGGCAACAGCACCTTTGGAACAGCAATTCACTGGATCAGTAGCACTGGAACAGCAGCTGCTGTTGTGTAACACATATTGTTACTGTTGTGTAATGCATCTCATGCCACATGATTGACTGATTTGACAATTGCATAAATAGGCAGGTAAATAAGCAGGTGTATGAGAGTTTCTCATAAATTGCTTGGTGAGTATACATTACAGGTCAATAAACACTTGATATACAATGTTCAATAATGAGATTCTTTATGGAAAATGCACTAGAATGCTTTCATTTCTGTACTGAATGTTCACTGAAAAATAAAATGCAAATTAACCCTTGTAACAAATGGGGTATATTTTCCCCTTAACACACCACTCTTGAAAATTAAATAATTTTGACAAACTGTGACACTTTTTGGAGCATTTTCTAAACTGCTATGAGTATGCCAATGCACAATGTTTGATATTATATATGTGATAAAGCCAAGACTCTATCAATAAGTTAAACTGCCTTCTCCTTGGAATGACAATAGATATTAAATTGTTTCCTAGCTGTTGTCATTTATCATTTCTAAAGTGATAGTGCCTGCGTGTTGTTTCCAAGCAGGAAGTCAGAGGAGAATGATACAGAAAACAAGCTCAGCAGGGAATTTATATTTCATATTTTCTTATGAATATCTTCTATGCTTGTAGGAATTGGAGTTCAAAGAAATGATCAATGGGGGGCCTGCAGCTTCATGTTGTGAAGGTTGAAAATACAAACATTTACAGAATTGCTATGCTTTGAAATGACCTCTTTCTATTTTTATAGAATTGTCCAAAGATTAAAAGCAGCTTATAGATACCCAAACCTCCACTGTAATAATACAGCGTATTGTGAAAATAACAGGTATGTGTAAATTGATAGGGAATAAGCAATACAATTTATAGCATAACAAATATTTGCATTCTATGAACATTAAAGTTTCTGTTTGTTCCTGTTATTCCTGTTTATATTTTTGCTATCTTACTCTAAAAATAAAAAAATTTAACTTAGAATTTCTAAAATATCACTTTGCAGTGGGTTTCTCCCCTGCACCACAAAAGGTAAATGCTTATTTTGTTTAGTGGGTAAAAGATAATGTGAAATACAGTACATACCTTATTCGTCACTTTAGCAGGCTTTCTCGTCTCTTTGCAACTCCTGCTCTCTGTCCCTCAGAGAGCTGCTCCTCTTTGCTCAACCAGTCACAGCTCTCAGATGCAGGACCAGCAGACCTACATTGTATACTGTATGTGGACCACAAGAGCACACCCACTTCCAAGGAGGATAGGAGAGTATAGAAGAGCGCCAGCTACCAGGAGAGTGAGCAGTAAGCTATGTTGTGTGCTTATTTCAATCCCCCTACACTAGGGGTCTCCAAAGGGCCAGTTTACTGTCATTTAGGTTTTAGGGGTGCCGGACTGCGGTCAGTGAGAGTAGAAAATGTTGTAGTGTGGGAGCAAACAATAGCTCCTCATTGGTTTCAGTGGGAGGAAAAGTGCCCCATTGTTGGTGTCAGTGGCAGGAATCATACCCCAATATTGTTGTCGGTAGGAGGAATAGTTCCTTGTATTGTTGATGCCAGTAGGAGGAATAGCTCCTCATATAAGTGGGAGAAATAGTGCCCCAAAAGGCCAGATAAAGGCAAGCAAACGGCCACATCTGGCCCCCAGGCCGCAGTTTGGAGACCACTGCCCTAGACAAAGCAAGCATTTTATCTTTGCAGCATGACTGAATATGTGTTGGTGTGTATGTGGTTGCAGGAGGGGCCATTGCATGTTGAAATGTTTGTTATTCCTAGAGTTTAACTTTAAAGGGAAAGTGTATTGTAAGACAAAGTACCCTTACCTACCATGCCTAGCAGAAGGTCTCAAGAACATAGTTTACATCGAGAGGGCTAGGTGTGCATGTTACCTGAAACTGCTGTAAGCATTTAACTCATTAGGTCCACATTAGTAGATGTAAGTCATGTAGAGCACATTATTGCACTTTGAAGTGTGTGTTATGAATGTTCCTAAACTCTGAGTAATGTCCTCCAGTCCGTTACTCAGTGAAGACATCACAGGATAGCATTAGAAGCAGTTCAAGATGAATTATCTCTCCTACCTCCTTACATACATTTCATATACCAGCTCTTATTGACAGCAAATGTAAGTAGTAGTGAATATTGATGAGGTGTGACCCAGTCTCAAATACAATAATAATGAAAAGGAAAAAGTTGCTCAAGGAACTTTGTGCCGAAAAATCATTTTTTTTATTTTTAGAAAAAATTATATCAAAAACATTCCAAAAAGTCAATACACATGATACATCAAACCTGTAAAGTATATACAAATAAAAATGCAAGATCTCTATGATCCATGGGTTATGTACCACAAGCTCTTTGCAAAGGCTCAGGAGAAAACAGAGCTTGTAGAGATGCCATATATAATGAAAGGTGTTGGCAACTGAGTCCATATAAAAAAATATGTAAATTATTACAAGGGCTGAAAAACCACCCAAGAAAACAGATGGAGACAAAAGGACACCCCACCAGCAAAAAACTGTCCTGACCATGAGTTGTGAAGAGGAATGGATCAACCCACTAGGGGAATGCAGCAGGATGCACTGATGGATACCGTGAAAGAATAGATGATTGC